TTTTGGGGCCACACTGGCAATGCTGAGGGCTGACTCTTGTAGCCCTCGGTTTGAGCCCAGGTATAGATGAGGTTTCTTTTCCCTCCGCATCCACAACAGCACTAGTTTCCGGTCTTTTTTTGTTGTGTTTTCCTCGCTCATATGAGGTGATATTTTGTCTTTGTACCACACCAAGTACTGCTCAGGGCTTCCTCCGTACTCAGGATCATTCCTGATGGGACTCAGGAGACTATTGTGATGCTGGGGATCAAACCCCGGGCAGGTGAATTCAAGTCGAGTGCTTTATTTATTTATTTATTTATTTATTTATTTTTTGCTTTCTGGGTCACACCCGGCGATGCACAGGGGTCACTCCTGGCTCTGCACTCAGGAACCATCCCTGGCGGTGCTCAGGGGACCATATGGGATGCTGGGAATCGAACCCGGGTCAGCCATGCAAGGCAAATGCCCTACCTGCTGTGCTGTCACTCCAGGCCCCAAGTCAAGTGCTTTTTCTGTGCCATCTCTCCAACTCCACAGTTTTGATCTGCATTTCCGATAAGCAATAAGGAGAATTTTTCCACATACTAATCGACCTTAATCTTAAATCTTGTTTTGAGCCATACTCAGTGGCGCTCAGGATTTATCCCTGGCTCTGTACTCAGGGATCACTCCTGGTTGGCTCTGGGGGCCATTGGGGTGCCAGAAATAAAAACCAGGTCGGCAAGTGCCTTACCTACGATCTCTCCACCCCCGGCCCCCATTTATTGAGTGCTGAATAAATCTCGTATATAGTCCATTGTTAGGTATACAGTATTTTCTCTTACTCAGAAGGGCGTGATGTTTATTCGACCCATTTCTTTCACAGTGCAGAAGCCCTTTAGTTTAATGTAGCCCCACTGCATCGCTAAAGATGCCTCGGAAGAGTTCGGGGGGTGGAGAGATATGCAGTGGGTAGAGCACTTCTCTTGCATGTAGCCAACAGGGTTCGATCCCCAGCATCCTATATGGACTCTGTGCTCAGCTAGGAGCAATTCCTGAGTCCAGAACCAGAACTCCTAAGTCCAAAACCAAAAGGAGTTCTGCCTATTTTCCTTAATGCATTTTATGGGTTTGATTTTTATTGGGGCTAGAGCGATAGCACAGCGGTAGGGCGTTTGCCTTGCACGCAGCCAACATGGCCAACCCGAGTTCGATTCCTCCGCCCCTCTCGGAGAGCCCAGCAAGCTACCGAGAGGATCTCGCCCGCACGGCAGAGCCTGGCAAGCTACCCGTGACGTATTCGATATGCCAGACACAGTAACAACAAAGTCTCCAATGAAGACGTTACTGGGCCCGCAAATCGACGATCAACGGGAGGGCCTTTACCTTTACCTTATTTTTATTGAGGTCTTTGATCCATTTTGAATGAACATGTAGTTGTGTGAGATAGGAGTCCAGATTCATACTTTTTGCTTGTGGTTAAGCAGTTTCCCTAGCAACCTTGCTGAAAAGGCTTTTCTTCCTCCATTTCAAGCCCCCAGCTTCTTGGACAAAGATTAGAATCTATTCTAGTACCATAGTTTTGATCACTATAGCTTTACAATATGATTTAAATTCAGAGAAGCCTTCAATTTTTTCTCAGAACTACTTTGGCTTTTGGGGAGATTTATATTATTTCATGTAATTGTTCCAGGGTTACAACAACGGCGGCCACACCGTATGGTGCCAGGAACTGAATCCAGGCACCCCACATGCAAAACACGTTAGCCTGTTCTCTCCATCTCTATTCCATATAAATTTTAGCAGTATTGGTCCACGTCTTTGATATATGCCATGAGAACTTGTGCAATGTTCATGGACCCATGTGGAACTGGGGAGTGAACCAGATTCAGGAACAAACAAGGAGTGAGTTTTTTTTTTTTTTTAATTTTTATTAGTGAAACACTGTGTAAACACACAAAAAATAAAACGGCCGGCAGTCTTGCCGTTTCCCCACTCCAGGGAGGTCGAAGGCGATGGTCAGGTGAAGAAAGGAAACGAGGCCAAGCTAGTTGGTCTTAGTAGCCGTTTATTACATGGAAGAGATGTATGTCATGGAGGCCTCAGGAATCCTCGAGCACGTGCGCCTTTGTTCTCTCCGCTTCTGTCCTCAGCCCCATCTTCCCAGGTTCTCTGATGCACGTGTCCCCCCGTTCTCTGGTGCACGTGTCCCCCCAGAGAGCCCTGAAATCTCCCTTATATAGATCATAGTACCTCTAAAGGGCGCAATATAATGATGTCATCAGAAGGAGTTACAGAAAGAACGTTGAGGCGGCAAACCATACATTGTTTCCTTACATCCGCAGGCCAGTAATCCTGGCCTCACCTTTTCACAAGCTACAAGCACTTAGATTAGCACAACAAAGACCAGTCTGCTAGAGCTTGGAATCTACATCTCCAAAAAAGCAGTCTCATCCAAGCTAGTCAGGACACACAGAAAACTGCTTCTAGGACGTGTTTCTCCTCTCCTTGTCCAACCAACATATAAGCATACATAATATTAATCATTTCGTATGGACACAGTAAGAAATACTTTGAGCTTATAGAATTGCTCTCCTAGGGCCATCTCGATCTCAGACTGCAGTGCTCAGGCCAGATATCTTTCCTATTCCTAGCAGCAGGGCCCTAGTCTCATCGTTACTATTGGATCATGACATAATGCCTATGATCAACCTCTTAACTTATAGTTAAGAATCGTGGCACCTTGGCCTGGCCCATCGCGATGCCAGGGTAGCACATAACTTACCGGCTTGCCCTGGTTCCATCCAGTCCCACGTCGGGACCCTGCCCTTGGAGTGCTAGGAAGTGAGGGCAACTGAGGCTTAAGTTGAGAAGGCAGATGCCCAGGAGTGAATAATATTCAAAGCCAATCAATTCCTAAGTTACGGAGCATATTAATTAATTGCCTTCCTGTATCTATACAAAAGGACACTGCATTAAAGTAAACTGCTCAAAAGACATAAGGAGAGGAGAAAGACAATATTAACTTACAGTACAGCTTCAGTGTCTAAGAAGGATGAGACCTTACAAATTGGTTGGGGAAGAGAGCATAGAAGAGGTTACAGGCAGACAAAGTAATGGGAGTGACTCGGGAGCACTGTGATGGGTACAATCTGATAAACCTAAGCTCCGTGTACTCCAACAAAACACCATGAGGTACAGTTGTAGACACAAATTTTTGTGCTTGGGCTTCAATTATACAATGATCAAGTACCCATCCCTTCACCTGTGCCCATTCCCCACCACCAATGATCCCAGTATCCCTCCCACCCCTATTTCCCCCATTCCCCCCTGCCTCTGTGGCAGGGCATTCCCTTTTGTTCTCTCTCTCCTTTTGGGTGCTGTGGTTTGCAAAAGAGGAATTGAGTGGCAATCATGTCCGGTCTAGTCTTTCAGCACGCATCTCCCACCCTGGGAGGATCCTCCCAACACCCTTTATTTGGTGCTCCCTTCTCTATCTGAGCTGCCCTTTCCCCTAGAATGCCCAGCTGGCCTCTAAGCTATGGAGTAATCCTCCTGGTACTGATCTCGGCTATTCTTGGGTATTAGTCTCCTATTTTGTTACTTTATATCCAACAGATGAATGCAATCTTTCTATGTCTATCCCTCTCTGACTCATTTTGCTTAGCATGATACTTTCCATGTAGTACCACTTGTATGTAAATTTCATGACTTCATCTTTTCTAACAGCTACATAGTACTCCATTGTGTAGATGTACCAAAGTTCCTTTCATCAGTCATCTGTTCTTGGGCACTCGGTTTTTTTTTTTCCAGATTCTGGCTATTGTAAACAGTGCTGCAATGAACAAACAAGTGCACATGTCACTTCGACTATACTTTTTTGCCTTTTTGGGATATATTCCCAGAAGTGGTATTGCTGGGTCAAATGGGAGCTAAATTTCTTGAAAATCATCTATACTGTTTTCCAAAAAGGCTGAACCAGTCGGCTTTCCCACCAGCAATGAAGGAGGGTCCCTTTTTCGCCACATTCGCGCCAACACTGGTTGCTTTTGTTCTTTTGGATGTGGGCCAAGGAATGAGTCTTAATCCCTGTTCAGACTGTTCTCTGCACCATGTGGTGCTAGGAATTAAAACCTGGATTTCCTGTATGCAACACCCTGAGAGACATTCACTGACCAACAAAACATTTATGAAACCAGACATTTTTGTACGAATGTTAAGCAATCATTGTAAATGTTTAAATGTGATACTAGCATAGAGCAAACACAAGTTTAAGTCCTTACTAAGAAAAATATTCTTGGGGATGGAGCAAAAACACAGTGGGCAAGGTACTCACCCAACCCAGGTTTAACCTTGGCCTGGCATATGGTCCTCTGAGCACTGCCAGGACTGAGTCCTGAGTGTGGAGCCAAGAGCAACCTTTGAGCATCACCGGGTATGGCCCCCCAAAAAGCTACAAGAAAAAACATGCTCGAGGGGCAGGGATGTGGCCCAACTGGCAGAGCACACGCCTCATGAACCCCAAGGTCTTGTTTGTGGGTTTGAGCCCCTAAAGCACTTGGCTTCCCATGCGACTATCCAAGAATAGTTGAAAACATAACAAGTAGTGCTCGCTTCGGCAGCACATATACTAAAATTGGAACGATACAGAGAAGATTGGCATGGCCCCCGCGCGAGGATGACACGCAAATTCATGAAGCGTTCCATATTTTTATGGTATTTGATCATTGTATAACTGAAACCCAAGCACAAAATTTGTAAGTCTACAACTGTACCTCATGGTGTCTCACTAATAAAAATTAAAATATATATATATATAAAGTAGATGATGGATCATTATTTTATCTAAACATTAGTTTGAAAATTTCAAAATGCTCTGGGTTTAATTCCTAGGACAACAACAACAACAACAAAGAATAAGAAAACAGGAGGCAGATCTGCACAACAGCAATTTATTATGTTGACATCACTGCTAATTACACAGGAGACACTCTATCTCCAAATCCATGAGGTCCACACAAACTTTTTCAAGTAAGAAACAAACGGCATGTTCAAAACTATAAGGAAATAGCCTGATACACAGGTGATGAAGACTGGTTACGTGAGTCTGCACATTTATTTCAGGCTGTTGAAGAGTTTGTGGGCCACCTAGAGGAGAAAGAGAGAGACGTCAATAAATAGCACTTTTCAGGTCGTGGTGTTTAAGATCCTTCATGACCCGAAACAGTAAATGCCTCTTTTCTCACTCTTCTTTCTCACACACCTATACCTTAAGCTCCTGACTACTTAGTTTCCTTCCTACTTTCTACCTGAAACTTTCCCGCTCCCCCCCAACTTTCATTTCCCCATACAAGTTTCTGGAGAGTGCGACTCGCTGAGTACATGCTATGCGTGAGGCGGCCAGGGTTCCATCTCAGAGGTCCTCTGAGCACCATCAGGAACTGACGCTGAGCACAGACTGGCAGTAGTTTCCAAGCATTGCCGGATGTGGTCCCCGAACCAAAGAAGACCCTTTCCGTTATCCTCACAGACACCTAGACGCCTCGTATTTCTCAAGGGAGTGTGGAGGGGACTTGGGTCATACCTGGCAGTATCTGGTGCCAAGGATTTAAATTGAAGTAGGCCACATACTAGGCAAGTGCTTTATCTCCTGTAATACTTATTATTTCTTTTCTTTTTGCTTTTTGGGGTCAGATCTGGCAACGATCCGGAGTCACACCTGGTTTTGCACTCAGGAACTACGCCAGGCATTGCTCAGGGGACCGTATGGGATGCCGGGGATCAAACCCGGGTCACCCTCGTGAGAGGCAAACATCCTGCCCACCATACTGCTGCTCGGGCCCATCTCCTGTACCATTTCTCTGGTCCCCAGTGCTTGAGGGATCGTTTGGTACAAGAGGTGAAAGTTCTATTCCGACATATAAAGTATGTGTTCCGCCCTTTACGCCACTTCCCTAGTCCCTAATGTAACTTAGAGTCGTGGTAAATGCAGTAAGAAAAGGGTGGGTAAACTCAACGGGGAGTGGGTGTCAATAAAGATCATTCTGAGGTTTTATCCAACGAACTCCCCATGTACTTATTATTCTACGTTGGCTTAACTCTGTCAACAGTGGGCCTGTGCTTGTCACATTCCCAGGTTTTTCTCCCTAGTGCTGCGGGTCTACCACAGGGCTTCATCCATATCAGGAATTCAGTCTACTGGCTATAGCCCCATCGTATAGGAGATACAGTGCCTTGCCTTGCATGCAGACTTTTCAGGAAGTAGATCCCGGTTTGATCCTCACGTTACCTCCACTTCCCGCCCCCCCCACCCACCCCCAAGCACTAGCACTCCTGAACAGACCCAGGAATAGCACCTCAGCAAAAATCAGTGTGGCCCAAATACCCAAAGTTCCCCTCTCTCAAAATATAACACCCCCAATCAAACAAAAACAAAACCCCCTCCACACTTCCACTTCTTAACCCCAGTATTTGGCTCATAAAATTATTCAAACAGGCTGAGAGATGACTCAAAGGGCTAGAGCGTAACTTCGCATGCAGGACAACTCGATCCCCAGCATCGTGTGACCCTGAGCCCCAAGTTAAGAGTGGCCCCCGAGTACCTCTGGGATGGCCCCCCAACCAGACCAAAGCAAAGCATTTAAAATAAAATTAACCATTTTAAATTTTGAGAGGAAGAAAAGGTTGGGCTACACCCAGGGGTACTTAAGAGTCTCTGCCGTGCACTGTGCTTAGACAATATATGGCGCCAGGGATCAGAACCAGAGTTCACTGAATTCAAGGCAAGCACCTTAATCGCTGTTCTGTCTTTCTGGCCCACTACTTCAATCAAAAAAAATCGGGGGGGAATGTGTGTACAGGAGCGGTCTGTTCAGGCCAAACCTGGTGGTGCTAAGGGTTTATTCCTGGCTCTGCACTCAGGAACTACTTGTGTCAGGTTTGGCAGACCATACCAGGTGCCGGGGACTGAAGTATTACCCCTGTGCAAGATAAGCACTCTACCTGCTATCGTATCTTTGTGGCCTCACAATACATGCCTCTCACGTATGAAGGGCTGTGTTTGATTCTAGCGATGCACGCAAGGGCACACTATATCTACGTACACGCTCTAAAAATGCAAGTGACTTTCTTGTGATACTTTATTGGGGTGATCTGGAACCGGACCCACAGGGCCTCCAAGGTGTACCTCTACTGCTCAACCCACTTTTGTTAATTTCCCTTTTCTTTGTTTTTTGACCACACCTGGAAGGGCTCAGGGTTTATTCCTGGCTCTGCACGCAGGAATTACTCCTAGCAGGGCTTGGTGGACCATATGGCATGCTGGAAATCAATCCAGGCCAGCAGTGTGCAAGGCAAAGGCCCCCCCCCACTGTACTACCTCACCCCACCTGACTTCTGCCCCCTTTCAGGGCCACACCCATTTGTGCTCAGACTTACTCCTCCCTCTGTGCTCAAGGATCACTTGTGGTGGGGGTCGGGGGACCATACAGAGTACTGGGGACTGAATCCAGACTGGCCACATTCAAGACAAAAGCTCTCCATGTTATCTTGCCAGCGCCATAAAATTCCACATTTAAGTACCTAATTTCACTCCACTTGTTTTGTTGTTTTTTTTGAACCACACCTCCTGGTGTTCAGGATTCAAGCCTAGCTGGCTACATGCAAGGCAAGCATCTTATTTGCTATATTCTCTGGCCTTTATTTTTGCTGCCAAACAATATTCCATTAAATGCATAGCCGCCCTGAGTGGTGGGGAAGGGGCCACACCCCCAGATGCTCCGGGGTTACTCATGGTGGTGTTTGGGGGACACTATGGGACCCCGGAGATTAAACCCGGGTCAGCAGCATGCAAGGCAAGCAGCCTACTATCTCTCGGGCCGAACAAACATTCTATTCACTATTGATAGGCATTCGTCAGTGTGGGCTACTTTGTTTCTATGAGTGTTTGTAAACACATTTCTGCGTAAATTTGTTTTGCGTTCTCTTGGATATATAGCGAGAAAGTAGAATTGCTCGGCCACAGTAAAACTACGTTCGTCATTTTGAAAAACTGCCACCCGCTTCCTGTATGGAGCTGCATCAACTCCCACTCCCACCAGGAGCATGCCCTCCACTTCCTGCACACACTTCCCATCAGTTTCTCTTTTGAGCCACGCCTGGTGGGTCTCGGGGATCAGAGCTGGCCTCCCGCCAGAAGGATCTTACGGGGGGTTTGGGCTGCGTTTCCCGACAGCTAATGTGTCTCGCCTCTTCCTTGTTCATCTACCACCCAAGACGTTCAGACACAAGCAACCAAATCAAATGTAACCTAGCCGTAACTTGACATAAACGCGCGTACAGTTCAAAAATTGGGCGCTACATCCGACAACGCTCAGGGAATCATGTGGTGCCAGGGAACAAATCTGAGGGCTAGAGAGATAACAGCTTCTACCTTTTTTTTTTTGACTATCCCCTGAAGGTGCTCAGAGCTTAGTCCTGGTGTGGCTCAGGAACCATATGGAACCCTAAAACCCAGGTCAGCATGTCCAAGGCAAGCACCCTACCTGCTGCACTACCGTTCTGGCCCCCAAATTAGTTCCTTATCTACGAAGCAGGGTTAGTTACACCGATCTTCAGAAGAAGTGGGAATTTTTCAATATAAAGTTCTAAGCATTACATCCAACATGTACTGGACCCAGAGTAAATGCTTACTGGCGGATCCCAGGATGAAAGAGTGGCCCTTCCTCACCAACGTAAGCGTTTCCCTGTCCTACTTTCAGGCTGACTTACACAGTGGTCCCGGGCATGCAAGAAGTCGAAGAGCTCCTCAGTGCAATCCTCCTCTGTTTTTGACCGGGACGACACACGCTGGTCACACATCTCTAAGCGCTCCCGAGCCTTTACACACTTCTCCAGCTGCTCACACTGTTCTCGCACTTTGGTCAGGGGATCCTGAAAGAGAAACGCCAGTCAGAACCAGCGACCGCAACCATACGCAGTCCTCAAACTAAGGCGCTGCCCTAAATTGTCATGCGAAGGCCAGCTGTCAGAACCTCACTGCGACCAGAAACAGAAAAGGGTCTGCCATCCATTTCTGATGTTTAGTATGAAAAAATGTCATAGCTCTGCCTTTAAATAATGTCAGTATGCACACTGAAAGTTTCAGTCCTATCTAAAACACAAAGTGGCCAAGGAAACCCGGCCAACCATGAGTAGAACCACAGGAGACCTTACTTGGCGGCATAGTTTTTTAGATGCACAGGCCTGTGAATTTCAGTTTTTTGCCTGGTAGTCAGGTTTATGTATCACAGCGAATCAGCCAGAGAAGCAATGCTAACGAAAGAACCATTTAGAATAGTTCTTTCCAGGAAAAAAGGTCAAGATATGAGTCAATCCTATGAGAGAGTCACCTATAATTTGCTAAAACACTTAACAGGAGATGTTCCAGGACTGGACAAGCCCCAAACTCAAGAAAACCACCCCCCAGCCCACACCTTCAAACACTGCCACACAAGGAGGCATCAAAAGGTTTTCCTGCTAGCCTTCTCTGGAAGGTGTCTATACTCCCCAGTGCCAACCACCACTAGAAGCCACTCTGCCACGCTGCCCCCCCCCCCCACACCACAGGGTCTTGCTCAAAATCCACATGCAGAAACAAGTTTCACATGAAGCCCAAACTTCCTTTTACTCAGATGATTTCAAACCTGAAACAGTTCTTACCACTAATTCCTCCTCCTCTTCCTCCTGCAGAAGAAAAATAAAATTAAAGTTAGAAGCAACTCCATGTCATACGCACATTCCCTAACATACAGATGTAATTGCTGAGGACTGACACTGATCATGTCTTTAAAACTGAATTTTGGTGCTCAAGAGATAATACAGCAGGTAGGCACTTGCCAGGAGTAATTCCTGAAGCCGAACCAGGAGAAACCCCCGAACTTTGCTATGTCCGCTCCTCACCCTCAAAAGGACCCTGCAAAATAAAAATTCCGAATCTTATGATGCTTTGACAGTTGAGGGTCCTTGCTAACTCTGGGAAAACTGCCTCTCCCAGGGCTGGCCAAGGTCTAGACATAACAAACGTGTCTTGGGACATCTTTCAGGAATAAACTAACCAATTTAAAACTCATTTCACCATTTCCCAAACCGAATACTCTGGCTCTGATCACCCCAGGGTCAAATACAAGTCGACTAAGGTCTACCCAAAATGAAAACATTCATCCTACCCTTCTTTTGGGGGGGGGGATGGGGAGTGGTGGCGGAGGGGTGGGAAGCACACCCAACAGTGCCCAGGACTTGAATCCTGGTGGGCTCAAGGGACCAGACGGAGTGCTGGTGATCAAGCCCGGGTTGGCTGTGCACAAGGCAAGCTCCTGTGCTCTTTCTAGCCCCCTCCCTGAACTTTCTCTGCCCTCTCTACCCACCCTGCTTGACCCTTGCCTTCCCTAAACAGGTTCTCCTGATGCTGACTGGCCCTGATACTACCCCACATGGTCCCAGGTGGCTCAGTGCTCAGTTCTCTTGAAAACTAAAAGCAACAAACGTATTTATTGTCTTATTTGGGGAGGGCCCGGGAGGGGTCGGGCAAGACCTAGGCAAGCTCAGGGCCTAGCCCTTGCTGTGCTCAGGGATCACTCCTGATGATCCTTGGGTGGCGATATATGGTATTAGGGATTATATACCTGAGTTCCACTGCCTTTAAGTTACCACAGCTCATTAAAATAGGCAACATCTTAAGTGCACAATACTTTAAAGCTCATAAAGAACTTTCATACTGTTAATGATTTGATTAAGAACTCACCTGTAAGGGGCTACCAGTTTGAAGAGTAAAAAATGCTAATTTTCTGTAGAGATTCCAGCTGTCAAATGTTCATTTGGGACTTACAAATTTAAATATATTTAATTCTAAATCCTAGTAAACCCAAAGTATTACCAAAAATAACCAAGTCTAGTTCTCAAACCAAGTTAAGGAGAAATACTGTTTTCTAAACTTTGAATTTGGAATATGAAAATGTCAAATCTGGAGCCAGAGTGACAGCACACCGGGGAATATGCTTGCCTTGAACGCAGCTCATCGGGGTTCAATCCCCAGCACCCCATATGATCCCCTGAGCACTGCTAGGAGTAATTCTGAGTACTGAGCATCACCAGGTATGCCCCCCCCCACACCAAAACAAAACAAAAACTGGAGGCTTGAGTGATAGCATAGCGGGTAGGGTGTTTGCCTTGCATGTTGGCTGACCTGGGCTTGATCCCTGGCATCCCAAATGGTCCCCATAGCACTGCCAGGAGTAATTCCCGAGTGCAGAGCCAGGAGAAACCCCTGAACATTGCCTGATGTGATCCAAAAAGAAAAAAACAAAAAACAAAACAAACAAAAAACCACACAGAGAAAATGTCAAAGCTCAAGTCTATTTTAGCCAAACCTTAACTCAAGATAGTTTTATTTTATGGTTATGGGTCCTGCCTTTTGACTTTGCTTTCAGGGCCGCACCTGGAAACAGCAGCGCCCCAGAGTCAGCCATCTCTCTGGGCCCTGGGCGTTTTTACTTAGGTATCAACATAAGTACTCTGGCTGGAGCGACAGATCAACAAGCTGAGAGCAGTTTCTTTCTTTCTTTCTTTCTTTCTTTCTTTCTTTCTTTCTTTCTTTCTTTCTTTCTTTTTTGCTCTTTGGGTCACACCCTGGCTCATGCACTCAGGAATTACTCCAGGCGGTGCTTGGGGGACCATACGGGATGCTGGGAATGGAACCTGGTTTGGTCGCATGCAAGGCAAACGCCCTCTCCGCTCTGCTATTGCTCCAGCTGAGGGCAGTTTCTATGCAGAATGCTGGAGGCCCAGGCTCGACCCCAGAGCAGATTGACGGAGTTGTTTCAAAGCAGTGGCCAACAAAATGAAAACAACCGACCCAACCACAATTACACCGTAAGTTTATGAGCCCACCAACAAGTTTGGAAACAGCAGATCCTACTTAGTTACTTGATTCAGGTGTACAAATCTCAAATTTAGTTTCTTTCCCGCCAAGGAGAGCAGGGTTAATAATAAATCCCTAGGGCCAGAGAGATAGTACAGGGGGTGAGATATTTTTCCTTGCATGCAGCCAACTCTGGTTTGATCTCGAAGTAGTCACTCCGGACCCCCCGCTGGGTGGCCCAGTCACCGGTCTACCCCAGCCTCCAATCTTTGGGATTGGGGAGATAGCTCAAAGGGCCGGAACACATGCTTTGCATACAGAAGCTCCGGGCAACTGAATTCCCCAGAGCATCTAGTCAGAAGCAGCTCCCGGCATCTCCAGCTGTCACCCTAAAACACAACACAAAACCCCTATTGGAGAATACCCTAAGCCTCAATCAGGAGCACAGCATCATCTGAATAATATCTCACACATGTCTTCATGTGAGAGAAGGCAAATAAATAAAGGTTTTGTGGAAATAATAGTAGCCATCTCATCAATCATCACATTAACAAAACTCCAACCTTTCTAATCCGGTGATAAGCTCACCACGGAAGAGACCAAAGTTCATAAAACCAGCTTGAAGGGCACGGGGGGGGGGGGGGGCCCTCTTAACTCTTACCATGGTCAAAGTTTATATTCATATCTGAGGACTTAGGACATAAACTCTAGGGGCCCAGGCATCCTCCTCCAGCACCATAAAAACAAAGTTTCATTGGTGGGAGGGTGGGACTGAGGTGGGCTGGGAAGGAAAGCGATCACGACATGCCTCAGGGTTGGAGAAATAGCAGAGCTGGTAGGGCAATGCCTTGCTGGAGGCCAAGTTCCTCTCCGGGGGTTTGGATACCCAGGACTGAGCACTAGAGTCAGGAGTAAGCACTGAGATTATTATTATTATTAATATAATTGGCCTTTTGGGTCACGTCCGGCGATGCTCAGGGATTACTTGTGGCTCTGCACTCAGGAATTACTCCTGGTGGTACTCGTGTGCCAGGGATTGAACCCAAGTTGGCTACGTGCAAGGCAAACACCCGACCCGCTGTACTATTCCTCAGGCCCAGGAGTAAGCACTAAGGTTATTTAGGTGTTGGCCCAAAAACAAACAAGAAAAGAAAACGTGAAAGGAAAAATCAGCTTCTGGCCTAAGCTGGAAGGACAACAGGGACTGGAGAGAGAGCAGCCTCCGAATATAACCAGGTCTGGCCCCCAAACCAAACGAAACCAAGGGCTGGAGAGATGGTCTTCTTGTATGCAGGAAGACCGTGCTCTTTTGCCTACAGGAAGTCTGGGCACTGCATAGGTGTCCAGAAGCAACTTCTGATCAGAGAATCTGGGACAGCCTATAGCAATTCAGGTTGCAAATACCACCAACCCCCACCGAGAAACGAAAAAGGAATTTAGGGACTGCAAAGACAGCACACGGTTGGGCGACCTAGGTCCAATGCCCCCGGCATCCCATATGGTCCAGAGCCCAATCGGGAGGAGTTCCTGAGTGCAGACCCAGGAGCGAGCCCCGAGCCATCACCAGGCATACCCCCCACTTTTCTTTTTTGCTTTTTGGGTTACACCCGGCAATACTCAGGTTACTCCTAGCCCCCCGACTCAGGAGTTACTCCTGGTGGTGCTGGGCAAAGGGGCGTGGAACGGAACCTGGATGGACCCTGGTTCGCTGTGTGCGATACCCACCCCACTGTACTGTTGCTGAACCTCAAAAAAAGGACTTAATGGGGGAGAGGGAAGTTATGAACACTGGAGACTCGGCTACCATCCCGCTGCACCTGCCATTTCCTCAAACAGAAATGTATCTTCCCTCATCCTAACAACTCAAATTGTTTAGAGGCAGTATGGGAATGCGGCTCAGTGATTAAGAGTATGTGCCTTGTACGTGTGAGGCCCTGAGTTCAACTCCTGGAACTACAACATCACCTGAGTACTGAGCTGGAGGGACCGACCAGGTGTGGCGTGACCATCCACCCACACACTCAACTTAAGAAGGTAGCACTGGAGTCCCGTTGTGCATCGATTTGCTGGAGTGGGCACCAGTAACGTCTCCATTGTGAGATCTGTCGTTACTGGTTTTGGCAAAACGAATATGCCACGGGGAGCTTGCCAAGCTCTGCTGTGCGGGTGGGATACTCTAGGTAGCTTGCCGTGCTCTCCGAGAGGGGTGGAGGACTCGAACCCGGGTCAGCTGTGTGCAAGGCAAACGCCCTACAGACTGTGCTATTGCTGGAACTTAAAAGGTAAAGGCCCTCCTGTTGATCGTCGATTTGCTCGAGCGGGCCCAGTAACGTCTCCATTGGAGACTTTGTGGTTACTGTGTCTGGCATATCGAATATGTCATGGGGAGCTTGCCAGGCTCTACTGTGCGGGCGAGATACTCTCAGTAGCTTAAAAAGGTAATAAAAATAACTGTGTTCAGAGGCGGCTTGGTAACTACTGAATAAGTGAGTGCTTGATGTAAGACCTACCAACCTATATGAGGTCACATGAGAACACATAAAACTCACACTGAAATTTATGAATCAAGCACATAATCTATTCTGGTATAAATGGCGGAAACAAGAGAAAAAAAAAATCTATCCTGGGATTGGAGAGGTGGTCCAAAGATCAATAATAAGGCGCTTGCTGGGCACGTGGCTGGCCCTGGCTGGATCAGCACCTACGATGGTCCCGAGCAGAGCCAGGAGTAGACCCTGAACACCGCTTAAAGTGGCCCCCAAGCAAAGCACCCCAGATAGAGCGAGTCCTGGGGGTCGGAGAGACAGAGCAGGGGGCCAAGGTTCGTGCCTCGCGCGCTTGTGTGAGCTGCAATCCCAAGCACCGCCCAGTCTAGGATCGCAGCCGGGCGCCCTTCTGGATGCCCCAGCCGGCACCCGCGGGACGGCTTGGGTGATCCAGGCGCTGGGGGCCCTTGCACGGAAGCTCTTCAAAGCTAGTCAAGCGGGTCCCAAAACTTCCTCAGCACCCCGCTGCAGCCCCTCACAGCCCCCGCCCCCAAAAAAGCTTCTATCGTCTTATTCACTCGTCCTCGACTTATCCTACTCGTTACTCGCTCTCCCCCTTTATCTGCTGCCTCCGCATTTCTGAAAGCGAAAGCCCCGAGGGTCAGCAGGACTCGCCGGCCCACCCGGGAGGGCTGCTCTGCAATGCCCCGGTGGGCACGGGGGCCAGGGGGGTCGAAGGGAAACAGAACCTGCACGCTGCGCGGCCACTCGCGGCCGACCCCGGGGTCGGGGTCGGGGTCGGGGGCTGCCGCCTGCTGTCCCGGGACACCCTCTGGGCTCGAGCAGGGCCCGACGCTCCTCCCACGGGCGCCCAGGCGCTGCGAGCAGCCGACGACCGCCCTTTTTTGATCCTTTTGGCCTTTGGGGCCGCACCCGGCGATGCACAGGGTCAGTCCTGGCTCGTGCGCTCGGGAGTCCCCCCTGGCGGCGCTCAGGGGTGATGCCGCTGGGGCTCGAACCCGGGTCGGCCGCGTGCCAGGCCGACGCCCCCCCGCCGTGCCGTCGCTCCAGCCCCCCGACGAGGCGACCGCCCTTGGAGCTGCTCCCGCCGGGGCACCGGCCCCTCCCCCGCCACGGCCCCCAAGGGCGCCTCCTCCGCTTCGCTCCCCGGGGCCGGAGGGAGACGCTTCCCGCAGCGACGCCAGGTCCACCCCGGGGGGACGTGAGGGCGCGCGAGGACCTCGCTGCCCCCCAAAGCCGCGACCCGGGACCCCGAAGACCGCGCCCGGGCCCTCGTCTCCGCGCGTCTCCGCCCTCGAGCGCCGTGACCCCGGCCGGAGTCCGCGTCCCAAGCCGGACGGGGCGCGGGGGGTCGCGAGGGTCCCCGGCGCTCGCGCCTCACCTCCTGCGGGTCTCCGGACCCCGCCAGCATCTTGCGCTCGTCCTCCAGCCCCATGTCCCGCGCCGGCCCCGAGTCCCGCGAGCTGCACCGGCCGCCGCGACTCCGCTCCCGAGCGAGAAGGACTCGCGGGGTCACTCGCCGGATATCCGGCGCCGCGGCCGGAAGTGCGGCAGGCCGGCCGGTCGCGCCGGGAAGACACGCCCCGGCGGGCGCGTACCATCGCGCGGGGGCCCGCGGCGGGGGGAGCCGGCGCCGCGCCCGCGGGAGTCCCGGCCCGGAGCGGCCCCGGAGCCCCTCCGCGCCCGAGGCCGCCGGCCGGGAGGTTCACCCGAGGCCCGGAAGCGCCGGGGCCCTCGAGCGACGGGCGCGCCCGGGCCCCCTCCCCGCGGCGGCCCGCGCCGCCCTCCCCGCGCCGCCGACTGGAGGCGCCCCGGCCGCCGACCCTCCCAAGATGGCGCCCTCGCGGGGCCGCCCCGGGCTCGCGCGCCTCCCCAAGATGGCGGCGCCCGCGGCCTGGCGCGCCCGGAGCGGCTGGTTCTGGGAGGCAGCGGCGGCCGCGAGCATGGAGGCCGCGTCCCGGGAGGCGGCGCCGGCGCAGAGCTCGGCCTCGGGCCCCGGCGCGCCCCCCGCCCTGTTCGAGCTGTGCGGGCGGGCGGTGAGCGCGCACATGGGGGTCCTGGAGAGCGGGGTCTGGGGTGAGTCGCGGCCGGGGCGCGGGGGGGCGCGGGGGGCGCGGGGCGCGGCTGACAGGCCGGCCGGCCGGCGGCTCCTGGGCCGCGGGGACCCTCGGGCGGGGCGGGGCGGGGGCGGGGGTCGTCGGGCCTGGGTCCGCGGCCGCTGCTGCCTGTCACGCCGCGGGGTCGCGGGGCCGGGGAGGCGAGGGGGGCCCGAGGCCTGCCCGGCGGCCCGGGGTCGAGGCCCGGCGCGCCCGCTCGGGCCGGGGGTCGCGGGGGGTCGCGGGGGCGGCCCGGCCCGGCCCGGCCCGGCTCGGCTCGGCTCGGCTCGGCCCGGCCCGTCCTTCGCGGCTCGCGGGCCCGGGCTCGCGGCGGGTCCGGGCGGGCTCGCGGGCGGCCGGCGGGAGGCCCGAGGCCCGGGCCCGGCCCGAGGGAGGGGGCGCGGCCGGGGCGAGCGGGGCCGGGCCCGGGGCGGAGGGCGGCCGGGGGCGCGGGGCGGGCCGGGCCGGGGGCGCTGCTGCGGGAGGGGCGCGGGCGGGGGCCGAGCGGGCGGCCGGGGCCGGGGCCGGGCGGGACGGGACGGGCGGGAGGCCGAGGCCTGGACGGGCCGGCGGGGGCCGAGCAGGCCTCAAGGGGAGGCCCGAGGTCAGGTCGGGGCCGGCGGGCGGGGGCGGGGGCCTGGGCCCCGGGGACGCGCCCTGGAGGAGGCCCCGGGGCGCGGAGGGTCCCCGAGGCGGGGCGGGGGGCGGCGGCCGCCCTCGGACCCGGGGACAGGCCGGCGGAGGCCTCGGCCCAAGGCCCAGGAGGAGGCCCGGGCCGGCCCAGGCCCGTCGGGGTCAGCCGGCCGCCCGAGGGGAGGGACGAGGCCTGGCAGTGGGGGCCGACCCCGCTCCCGGGCCGGGACCGGGAAGCCCCCAGGTGCCCAGGGTAGGAGGGGCCGGAGGGGCACCCGGCAGGCAGGGCGCTCCCTTGCAAGCGCCCCGATGGTGCCTGGACACCGCCAGGAGTGACCCCGGAGCACTGCCGGGTGTGGGCCAAGAACGCTGGGGGTGGGGGGACAGGAAAAGGACAAGAACTCGCAGAGGGGGAGGCACAGGGATCCTTGCTGACCGCGAGCCAGTTCGACCAGAAAAGGGGCCAGAGCGGAGAGGCAGGGGGCAGGACGCTGCAGGCCCCAGGAGAAATGGCCGCGCGGGGACAGCTGGACCGACTTAGGCCTCCTGGCAGGGTGAGACGCCCGCTTGGCGGGGCGTTTGGGAGGAAGGTCCCCGGACTGGCCAGTGGCCAGGAAAGGCGCCTTGGAAGCCGCGGACGGGCTCTTGCTTTGCATCGGAGGCAGCGGAAGGATGCAGCAGGTGAAGGTAGACAGCCTAGGTGGGTTAGGCCCGGAGTGCCAGGCAGGAAGTCTGTATTTTGCGTTGAGCGCGGTGCCAAGCCCACATTAGAGATGGGGACGGGATGGCACGTGGGATACTTTCCTTCAGCAGGTCTGCAGAGTGTGTAGGATGAGTTATACTCCGCCCTTGGGCATCAGGACCCAGTTATTCCACAAGTAAAAATTCAAGACTTCGAATGGAAGCTCTGAAAGATTTTCCCCGCATGCGATATCCTCCAACATCCCCGACTTGTTTCTGTAGAACAGAGAAGCTGTTGACGAGACAGTGATATTGGGGCCGGAGAGAGTAGATGTGTTAAGGTCTCGGACGCGACTCACCCCAGTTTGATCCCCACTAGCCCACATGTTCCCTGAACCAGAGAAGATCCTTCGTAGAGCCCGGAGTGGGGCGGGCCCCGAGTGCTACCGAGTGCCTGCCCGCTCCCCCCAGAGAAGAGTAACAGACAACAGTCAGTGAATTTATTACGGCCAGATGTGGTCTTGTTACTCGTTTGAGGGTCACGCCCAGCACTGGTCAGGAGCTGCTCACATTGTGGTATCCAGAATCATGCCTGGGGTGTGTGGATGACCGTGCTGCAGGGGGGAACTGAATCCAGGCTTGCATGCAAAGCTCCAACCCATTGAATTCCCTCTCTAGCTCCTGGCCACGTATGGTCTTAGACAGTAACCAGGATCTTTAGTTTGTTTGTCTCTGGCTTTTTGGGGTCACACCCCGCACTTTGATTAGTGGATTCAGGAATCACTCCTGACAGTGCACTGGTGGACCCTATGGGGAAGGAACCCAGCTAGGAGAGTGGAAGACAAGCACCCTTTGCACTGTGCTATCACTCAGGCCTCCTCTTTTTCTTTTCTTCTGTTTTGTTTGTTTGTTTGGTTGTTTTGGCTGTGCTCAGGGCTAATTCCAGGCTCTGTGCTCAGGAATCACTCCTGGTGGGTGGGATTGGGAACCACATCGAATGCTCGGATGAAGGCCAGGTTGGCTGCGTGCAAATCGAACTCTTTACCTACTTTACTATCTCAAGGCCCTGCCAGCTGTTTCAAGTTTTATTTTGGGTTTTGAGCCACACCCATCAGTGCGTAGGGGTCACTCCTGACCTGGCAGGGCTCAGTGGACTGCCGTGGGGTTGGATACACGCAAGGCAAGAGGTTGAACTGTCTCGCACCTTTCACCACCTCCCTTTTAAAACTTGAAAACTGAGGCCTAAAGATAGTTACTTCAGAAGTCAAGTTAACTTCGTGTACAAGCAGATTTTTACGCGGTTTGTCAGATGAAACCCGTTAGCCTCCTGCTGTGGCGCCTCTTAGAACTGGAGAAGTCAGAAAAGCAGGGTCTCTTGTTGCGGGGAGAGGGATGTTTGAGTCACACCTGACAGTGCTGGGGGCTCCTCCTGACTCTGCTCTGGGTTGCTCCCGATGGTGCTTGGAGGCCTTTAGCCAGTCTGGGGACACTGGTGCACGCGTCATACAAGGTAAGTGCCTTAGTCCCTGTAAGTCCCTGTCCCCTTCATCCCAAGCAAGCTTTGTTTTGAGAATGCTTTGAATTTACTTTTGTTTTTTTTAAACACTGAATTTAGAGTGCTGATTTTTGTCTGGTTCGGGATGACATACTGGAGGTCCTCCACCCCCGCTTAGGGTTGCTTCTAGAGGTGCTCAGAAACTCTGTGGTGCCATGAATTAAGCCTGGACTTTCATCAAACACGTGCAAAGCATGCACTTCAGCCTTTTCTCTGGCCTGGCTCTGAGTTTATTTGGGGAGGGTGTTCTGAGCCCACATGCCACGATGCTGAGGATCATACGGTGCTGAGGATTAAGTCTGAACAGGGGTCTGAACATGTAAAGCTTACTCTCCAGTCCTTTGAGCTATCTTCCTGGTCCTTTTTTTTTTTAATAAGAATGTACTAGTTCATGGTATAGTGGGGGCTAAAAGATGAAGTTGGTGGTCAATCTGACAAAATGGTGGACTAGGTAGTATAGTGGGTAGGGTACTTGGTTTGCACGCAGCTGACCCGGTTCGATCCTGTCACCCCATGTGGTATATCCCTCTATCCCTGCCAAGAGGGATCCCTGAGTGCAGAACCAGAGTAAGTCCTGAGCACAGCAGTTGTGCCCCAACTACAAAAAGTCTGGGGAAATGGGGAGGGAATTAAATGAAGGGTATGTGGTAGCCGATATACTGAAAATAGCGTGACAGAGGTACGGAGACTTCAGTATTAGGGAAGGTAAGAAAAAGGTAGGTTAGGGGACTTGGGAAATAATACAGCAGGTAGGCACATGCCTTGCACCTGACTGACCTGGCATCTCACATGGCCCCCCAAGTCCGTCAGGAGTAATTCCTGAGTGCAGAGCCAAGAGGAACCCTGTGCCTTGCTGGGTGTGGACTCCCCCCGCCTGGATAAAGGTAGTTTAGTGTGGCTGAAGTACTGGGGGCAAAGCAAAGAGCTAGAGAGGGTGCAGGGGCCCAGATTATGAAGGAACTCATTTAATGCCATCTTTTTAATGCAGATGCTTTACTACGCTTGGGCATTAGGGAACTGACTAGCTTCTAAAGGTATATATATCATCCTGCTTTGTGGGATTATCTCACTCTTGATGCACCCTGAAATTTCAGCTGACAACTAAAGGAGTATAAGTAGACAAAGTTGGAATTAAGTTTAGGTTCCTGTCACTGTCGCTGTCCTCCCAGTGTTCATCGATTTGCTCGAGCGGGCCCAGTAACTTCTCCATTTGGAGACTTGTTGTTGCTGTGTTTGGCATATTGAATACTCACGGGTAGTTCACCTTTTTTTAGGGCTAGGGTCACCTTTTTGGGGGGAGGGGCGGTAACATCCGGCAAGGCAAAGGGGTTACTCCTGGCTCTGCACTCAGGAGTTACTCCTGCCAGTGCTCAGGGGACCATATGGGATGCTGGGAATCGAACCCGGGTCGGCCGCGTGCAAGGCAAACGCCCTCCCCGCTGTGCCATCGCTCCAGTCCCTCGGTTCGCTTTGACAGGTTGTTTTGTTTTGCTTTTGGTTCACACCTGGTGATGCTCAGGGATTACTCCTGGCTTTGCACTTAGAAATTATTCTTGGTGGTGTTTGGGAGACCACGTGGGACGCTGGGGGTATTGAACCTGGGGTGGATTGCAAGGGCCCTGTCCGGCTCTTCAGGTTCTTTTTATCAAGTGAAAAGTGTGTGTCCTTCATTTTTCCGTTTCATTTGGATAATAATGCTTGAAACCCTGAGAGAGGAAAAATAAATTTTGTATTTTGGTTTTCATAGCCCTCCCAGGCCCAATACTGCAAAGCATCTTACCTCTGCTCAATATATATTACTTGGAGAGAATTGAGGAAACTGCCCTCAAGAAAGGTGAGTGTCTTTCTCTCTTGATCTCTGTCAGTGATTATAGCCAAAGCACCATGATGTTCGTCAGGTAAATATTACACCTGTTACCTGTCTCGAACACTTCATGCTTTTCAAATGTTGCCCTCACGCCAGTTTTCTTATTTGATCACTCGGTGTCTTGTGAAGTACAAAGCAAATAAATAAGCTTCTTACTCCATTAATGAAACTGAGGTCAGAAGAAAGCAGTCCTACTAGTCATAGATTTTCTGAATTTCCGTGTTTCTCTTCTATTGAGCTGCCTCTCAATTTTCTCATTGAACATCTGTTAACAAGCTGGCGTTATACAACCTTGATGAACCAAGAGCTGTCACAGCCACGTTTCCTACAGAGAACAAATCTTTTATGCAACTAATAATCCTGTGAAATAGCTTCCTCCTCCCCCCACACACCTTACTCTGGCAGGACTAAGGTCTGAGGAGCCACTCATGGTGGTGCTGGGAGTAAGTGTGACTGCTGATGCCGTATGGTTTTTTTGAGCACAGAAGACATTAAAGGGCTGGTGCCCTTCACTCATATCGTCCAGGATCATCCAAGTAAGTGTGATATTTCTCTCCACAGGCCTCTCCACTCAGGCCATCTGGCGTCGACTATGGGACGAGTTAATGAAGACAAGGCCTTCCAGTTTGGAAGTAAGTTAAGACACCAAGTAGAAATCTGGCTCAACTTCGCACAGTTTGAAAGAATAGCAGATAAGCTGGGGATTGGTAAAGTGTAAGGATGGAGTGTACTTGGGAGGACACTGATGGTTTATTACAAGTTCTTTCCCATTTGGCATCGACTTGCTTATTCATAGTGTTTGCAAGTGACACGAAAAGGGAAAAGGTAATGAACAGAGTAGAGAGTAGAACCCGGATTCGTAGTTTTTGACAGGGCTGGAATAACGGTCAAATTTCATATTTAATATATAACAATAAGCCGACTCTTCACTTTAGTCTAGATTCTAATGGCAGGGCCTGACCTCAAAAAGGTTAAGGGAGTTTAGTCAACAGTGTGCTGAAGCTGTTCATAATGACAATACCTTGAATTTTGTGAACTAATGTAAATAGAGACTGCAGGGTAAGGGGAATGAGGGGCAGACTGACAGCTTGCCTTGCCTGTAGCTGACCTGGATTTGATCCCCAGCACCCTGTATAGTTCCCTAAGCCCCACCAGGAATGATTCCCAGAGCACAGAGCCAGGAGTTAAGTTCTGAGCACCTTGGGAATGGCCCAACAACCCCCCTTCCAAACAACAATTAAAAAGAGGATAAGGGAAATGATAAGTCCTACCTGGCTCTGTAGTCGTCAGGCTACTCCTGGGATACGAAGAAAGAAGTCGGTCAGAGCCACATTGAGTCACGTTTGGAAGACTGGACTGGAGGTGGTTTCCTGAAGGAGAGAAGTCGAGGGAACAGACTGACTTGAAATATTTGTCGCTACTTCTGTGGGGGTTTTTTTGTTGTTACTTATTTTGGGGTTACTCCCTGCGATGTCCAGGGAACCACACAATGCCAGGGATCGAAGCTGAGGCAATAACATGCAAAGCATCAGCTCTCGCCCTTTGTGCCATCTGCCTGGACCCTGAGCGTAAGACTTTTTAACACTGAGCTTATTGGTGTTAAAGTGAGCTAATTTCAGAGATGATAAGCTTCCCACAATTAAATGTTCAAATAGAATCTGTTTAACTACTTGACGCGGGGTATTACAGAAGAAATTGAGCATTGTAAAAGAAGTTGGGCAAGATACTTCTTTAGGACTAAGCCCCGATTCTGTTACTCTTTGGTATAGTGGGAGTGCTTGGAACGCAGTGAAACACCCACTTGAGCCAAACATCTTTTGTGCTTCATAATTAGGTGACAGATTGAGTGCAGTGTACACTACTAACCTTGCTGCCTTGAAGTTTTACACCAGATATTGAAGGTACAGACGGTTCTTTGTTTGGTGGGGGAAGCTGCAGGCAAATAGATATGATGAGGTGATTTGCGTGATGGAGAGTAGCGAGGAGCTTGAGGGAGAAAGAAATTAAAGAGTTTCTCCGAAGAAGTATTTGAATTGGGCTCTTAGGTGCATGAGACCAAATAACTATCAGCTCTCGTCAGGAGCTGGAGGCGTTTCTGGTGATGCAGTGATCTTCAGTTCCATATCCTTCAGCTTTTCCATTTTTAGATCTGGATGCAACCAGTGGGGATCAGTGTGATGACACTGATGCCCAACAAACTCCTCAGGTGCTATGTCAGGAGATAGACCCTTCGAGAAAAGAAGAGGATGCAGGAATATTGGAAAACAGGAACAACTTCCTACAACCTTTAAAGAAACATGAGGTTTACTTTGTCCCAGTGTTTTCAAAGCATTATGCCCATTGTAGAGATTTTCCAACATCTTAAGGTTCTTGGGGGAAAATGTCTGTTATTCTGTTTCCTTGTCTCAGAGTATTTTGATAACGTTAAGGAGGTCCCATATTTGGTGACCTAACAGTCGTCATCGCATCGGTCCTGACTTGGATTCCCCTTTCCAAAAGGTATCTTCTTTTGCTCCCCATTCTGCATGACAGTAACTTTCATTCGCAATTCTGTAGCGCTGTCCTCCCGTTGTTCATCGATTTGCTCGAGCGGGCCTAGTAACACCTCCATTGTGAGACTTGTTACTGCTGTGTTTGGCGTATTGAATGTGTCACGGGGAGCTTGCCAGGCTTTGCCGTGCGGGCGAGACACTCTCAGTAGTTTGCGGGCTCTCTGAGAGTGGCGGAGGAATCGGACCTGGGCTGACCGGGTCAGCTGTGTGCAAGGCAAATGCCTTACCCACTGTACTATCGCTCGAGCATTCACAATTCAGTACACATTATTCACATAAATGAAGTGTATGCTCAGTTCCCGGCACCATACCTGGCTCTAGGGATGCAGTGGTGCGCAGAATAGGCCCGATCTCTGGCTGCTTGCTTAGAAAGCAGCAGTAACACTAGTACCTGTAGACGTAAAAATAAAGCTGTGGAGTAAAATAGATATTCTGGGGATAAAGCAGTGGCAAAATGAAGAATTACTGAATCATTGGTTCTTTAGCCATTTGGAAAAGTGAAGTTAGAGACTCACAATCTACTCTTTCTATATGGACTAAAGATGAACTATAAAAGTCAAAAATAAAACTACAAAACAACTGGAAAGAATAAAGGTGATTCATTATCAAATCTCAGGATGGAGAGTGCTAATTATTAAGAGGGCAGAATGAAAAAAATTGGATTTTGACATACAAAAATGCCAGCACTATAGAGAAAGGAGTAATAGATTATCAGTTAGGGTGCTTGCCCTGAACTTGCTGGACCTGCGTCAGATCCCTAGTACCCAATACGGTCCCCGAGGCTACCAGGACCCCAAAGCTCAGAGCCAGGAGTAAGCCCCGAGCACCGTCAATGCAAAAAATCAGCATTCAGGCAGAAGTCAGCATTAAAAACCAAAAGTTGCTTTAACCAAGAAGTGTAAAGTGAAATCGACACAACAAAGGGATGTAGATACAGGGTGGGCAGAGAGGTGGCACAGAAGGGGAGAGACCCACCTGGCAAGCAACGAACTCAGGCTCTGTCTGTGTCCTGGCGCCATATGTGTGGTCCTTGAACACGGCCAGGGATAAGCCCTGAGCAGTGCCAGGCATGGCCCAAACCCCCTGCCCCCCACTCCCGATATTTTTAAAAAGAGGGGGAACATCACAGTGAGTAAAAATTCGGACAAGTACAAGACACACCCAAAATTCCAGCGCAGGGCAACAGTTCAGTCTCAGTGATTGAAAAATAGAATTGGTGGCCAGAACAGTAGCACAATGGGCGTTTTCCTTGCGCACGGCCAGCGTGGACTTGATCCTTGGAGCACCATATGGTCCCCAGAGCCCCGCCAGGAGTGACCTGAGAGTGCAGAACCAGGAGTAAGTCCCGAGCACTGCTGAGTCTGACCTATGAACAACACACACACCCCATAAAGACGTGAAAGTTAAACTGTGAGTCAATCATGGAGCTGGAGACAAGAGATTGCATCCAGCTCAGCCACTCGAAAGACAGGCACCGTCCACTGTCCTATAGACCCCCAACTGTAAAGGTTTTATTTTTTTTTTCACTTTTTATTTTGGTTTGGGGGGCCACACCTGGCAGTGCTCGGGTGCTCCACCTGGCGATGCTCAGAGTATCAGGTGGGATCTGGGGGTCTAACCTGGGCCCGCCACACACAAGCAAGCACCTTACCCGCTATACTGTTGCTCTGGCCCCAAGTTGTTTGATTTCTTTTGGTTTGGGGTCCACACCCAATGGTGCTCAGAGCTTTTTCCTGGCTGTGTTCTGGGATCATTCCTAGCAGGCTCAGGAGACCATATGGGATGCCAGGAATTAAACCCAGGCTGGCCGTGTGCAAGTCTCTGCTATATTGTCTGTCTGGCTCCACAATCTTTACACGTGGTTCTTGTTTTGGGACCACGCTTCAGGGCGCTGAGTGATGACTCCTGGGTTGGTGCTTGGGAACAGAACCTGCGGCCTCACGTACAAAGCAAAGTACTCTAATCACTAAGCCACATTTCCAGCCCCAACACTTTTTTGCTGCTTTCCACAGTTACGTATTAGAAAAAAATCAAGATTGTGATTTTTGATTGTGATTTGTGAATTTGCTGTAAACCTTCACCCCCTCAGTTTGCACAAACTCTTCCGTCCCTACCAGTGCCTGGCCTGCAAACCATTCTAGATGGACCAATCTTACTTCATCTCTATGTGATACCTCATTTCAGTTTTACCCTAAAGAAACCACTTAAATCAATGTCCATTGTCTGAGCTACAAAATGACTTGAATTAGCTATCTCTGATACTTCTTTTTTTTTTTTCTTTTTGTGTCACACCCGGCGATGCACAGGGGTTACTCCTGGCTCTGCACTCGGGAATCACTCGTGGCGGTGCTCAGGGGACCCTATGGGAAGCTGGGAATTGAATCCGGGTTGGCTGCGTGCAAGGCAAATGCCCTACCCGCTACACTATCGCTCCAGCCCATATCTCTGATACTTCTGAGAGTTGAAGTTACGATGGGTTACGATGGGCCAAAGAGAAAGTAGTGAGTAGGGCGCTGGCCTCGCACATGGCTGACCAAGCTTTGATCCATCCCCAGTATCGCATGTGGCCCCCTGAGCACCGCCAAGAGTGATTCCCGTGTGCAGACCCAGGAGTATCCTGAGTACTGCCGGATGTGGTCCAAAACCAGAAAAACAGAACCAGAACAAAATGGTGATGAACGGGGGCCAAAGCCATAGTATAGTGTGCACCCGGGTTCCGTCCCCCAGCATCCCATATCGCCCCCCGAGCACCTCCGTGTGCAGCCCAAAAGCTAAAATGAAAAGGTCAGGGTGGAATAAAGTGCAGTCAACTCTGCTGACGCATTCACTAATTCACGAGAAAGCCCTTGACAGTTGCCATGGTTAACTCGACCTGTTCACTAGCCCTCACAACTCCGAGGTGGATTTTTAGTTGTCTTCCCCACTTCACGGATGCCGAGGGAGAAGGAGATGAGGCGACTTCCCTCGTGTTACTTCATCTGGGGCAAACCCGGGATTCCAAGCCAAGTCAGTCTAGCTCCAGGTTGTGTTCTTCCAATTGCTGTCATGCTGCTTGGCCTCTCTGTCTCCTGTGTGTACAT